GAGACATTGTCTCTTCAAAAATTAAAAAAAAAAAAATTAGTCATGTGTGGTGACACACAACTATAGTCCCAGCTACTTGGGAGATTGAGGTGGAAGTATCACCTGAGCTCCAGGAGATCGAGGCTATGGTGAGCTATGGTCATGCTACTGCACTCCAGCCTAATCATACTGAGATCTCTACGCAAAAAAACAAAACAAAACAAAAAAAAATTGTGAAAGACTTTGAAATAGGCATATAAATATCACAGAGTGAAAAGAGGTACCTATAGAAACCTAGAATAAACTTAGTTTAGTGTAGTCTTTTTGCCTCAACATAGCCATTTTTGCTTAGACTTCACCCCTGACTTACTTTGAATCTAGCACAGGTTAAACATAGATAAGTTTCCAATAGATGTGTTTTTAGGAAACCCTTCAGACATTCTGCAGCAGGCCAAGCTGGCAGCCTACCCCACCCCCTCAACAAGTCTTCATCAGATGCAAGACCAGGACAGTCCAACAGCCCAACCTTCCAATTCATGTTTTAGCATAATAATCTCTAGGAAACTTTCAGGTTCCTTGTTAAGGCTGAAGATCAAAGATCATCCCTTGGCAGGTCAAAGCCATAGAAATGGTAATAAGACCATCTTTGGTCAAGGAATTTGTGGATTGCAAACATCTGACAAGTCTCTTGCAGGAAAACCCCCTCCCCTTGTCTCCTCCCATCTAGTCTAACACCTAAAATGCTAATGTCTGGCAAGTTAAGATCTAAACTCAGGTGGCTACAATCACCATCAAAGACCCACAGACCTGGACATTCATTCCTCCGGGCCTAAACCCCCTTACCCCAAAGGCCCTTAAATATATCTGGTTCTCTGTCCTTTGGTGCCACACTTGCCTCTGAGTGTTAGCTCCTTTTTCCATCTGTGTAAACTTTATTTCTTTCTACTTTCTTCCTTGTTGCAATCATGCATTATTCCTGTGGCATAGGCACCCACACCAGCACCAGCCTACTTCACCTAAGTTTACCCTTTCACAGGGTGTTCTGTCTAGCACATTCTTCCAGGATATTTGCATCTTTCATTACCTTTAAGCTGTTTTTTCAACTTAAATAAGTAGAAAACTGTTAGTGATACAAATTATTCTTGTCAATAGAAATGCAAATGAATTATGTTCAGTGGAGATGAACTTGATTATTTCCCTATGGCTACTGACTTTTGGTTTGCTCTGCTTGTAGCTCATTTCAGTATAGCCTATATGCTTGTCTCTTCTTTGAATATGAGTGTTCTTTGAGCTGGTCATGACATCTTAGTGGTTCCCTCATTAATTAGTGAGTTAAACTAGATTTTGGCATTTGTTCATTTTATATTAGTCCTAGTTCATTTTGTGCTGCTATGACAAAATATCACAGACTGGGTAATTTTTAATGAACAGAAATTTATTGGCTCATGGTTCTGGAGGCTGGGAGTCCAAGAGCTAGGGGCCAGCGTCTGGTGATGGCCCTCTTGCTGTGTCATCCCATGGTGAAGGGGAAAGGAGAGAGAAAGAGAGAGAGAGACAGAGGGAGGCAGAGAGAGAGAGAGAGAGAGAGAGAGAGAGAGAGAGAGAGAGAGAGAGAGAGAAGGAGGGGGAGAGGGAGAGAGAAAGAAGGAGAGACAGAGTGAGAGGGAGAGAGATAGGGAGAGAGAGAGGGAGAGAGAGGAAAAGAGAAAAAGAGGAAGAGAGAGAAAGAGAGAGAGGAGAAGAGTGAGAGAGAGAGAGAGAGAGAGAGGGAGGAAAGGAGAGAGAGAGGCTAAATTTATTCTTTTATAAGGAAACTACTCTGGTGATGATGTCATTCATCCATTTATGAAGGCAGAGTTTTGTGGCCTAATCGCTTCTTTTTGTTTTTTCAAGCAGGATTTATTGAGAGGACAGAAAAGCTTCCACAATGGGAGGGGACCCGAAGGGGTTACCCCTAATCACTTCTTAAAGGTCCTACCTCTTAATGCTGTTACAATGGCGATGTTGTTTCCAACACACACTTTTTGGGGAATACATCCAAGCCACAGCGATATTTATATACTTTTACCTTTTAGAAAAAGTTATCCTTGAATTTCTTTTCTCAAGATTCTAGTTCTCATAGCTAGACTATGAACCTATCAAGAATTGACTCAGGTATATCTGACAGGGATTCTTTATTATTTTACATTTAAGCTTCAGAGCTCTTTGAAAAACTGATGAAAGCAATGAACCCTTTCTCTGGGAAAAATAAACACAGAAACACACGTTTTGCATACTCTCTTGGGAGTTCCTTGACTTCCTGGAGAATGGTTGAAGAACTCCTGGGAGAGAGCTCGAGATCAGAATAGCTGCTCAAGATATATCTTACAATATATTTTGGAAAATGACTTTTTTCTTAATATGTTTAGAGTGCTCACCATGTACCAAAATGTGTTAACTAATTTAATTGTCACAGAACCTCTAAGAAGTAAGAAACTGTTGTTATCCAGGGAACAGGTACACAGAGGGCATATGTCATTTGCCCAAGATCACATAGCTGGTAAGAGTTTCAAAGTGATTCTTTTGTCCCACAGATATAAAGTAAAGGGAATAAAACAGTCCTCAGGGGAAAAAAAACATTCCTAGGGAGAAAGAAATAGCTCCGCAAAATCAACATGTTCCTCTGTGGTGAAGCTGAGACATCTGGTCACCAGAATCTCTTGTGGCTAGGCAAATCCTGTTTCTAGAGGATCCTGGGGGGAGAAAGTTACATGGCTGGGAAAGGGGATGGGAAAGCCAGAGAGAGGGAACCTTCATCTCTCCCATTCCACTTGGAAGTCCGGAGATGTGCAGCTTCATCTACAACCTTCCTACAAGAGGTCTAGAATGAGTGAAACCTGTTGCTTGGCCAGGGTCCCCATGGCCCCAGACAGCTATAGGAGAGCTGTCAGCTTTTCCTTCTACTCATGAGCAAGAGGAAGCTAGGGAGGACTGGGTGTAGCACAGGATGTAGAGTGAACCCCTAGTAGGGGGTTGGTTGAGGTGATGCATCCCCAGGGCAGAAGGGTCACAACCAATGCCAAGCCAAATGACAAATGTGTCACACCTCAGTGAATGCCAGCAGGGGATGAGAGACTGGGAAGTTGATATCCCCTTCCTCCAGAGATTGCATGGCATTTGTATAAACCCTTCTCCAACCCTCACTCTCAACCTAGAAAGACCCCTTTGGACAGGAGGGGAGCAGAGAGCAACGATCTCAGATCTGACTGCCTTTACATCTCAAGTGTCTGAGCAATCAGTAATCTAGAAGTTACTAGAATAAACTTCCTGCAAACAACACAGAAAGGAAATCCAGTTGTAGCAAAATGATGAAAAGGACATTTTGCACATTTGAGTTTAAGACCCACGTGCTACCCAAGTGAGCTATTGTGCGTTAACTGGCTCTTCCCCACCCTCCTCCCCCAGTTTCTAGCCTATGGTCATTCATCCAGAGTCTTCCAGATACTAAGTGTCAACACCCACATTCAGGGGCTCTGAGTGATCTGACTCTTCTAAGTTTGCAAATAACATTCAGATTCTGTGGTCCTGGTATGTCGCATGCTTGAAGGCGGAGCTACATTGCTACCTCTGATTTACAGATGAGAACACTGCGATCTGAGAGATTTCATGGTCAAGTTACACAGCAAATTAGAAGGAGTGCAGGATTAAGACCTGGGCTTCCCATTTCCTGGTCCAGCTCCTGGGTGGACCAAGGGCACAGGTAGGTTGCAGAGGTTCTGGGATTCAGGGAAGATTCCTGGAACTTACTTCAGACTCACGCATAGAGGTCAGTCCAGACTGCCGAGCTTAGGGGAGCATGCCCTGGCCTCCCCCAGCAAGGACAGGTTTCAGAGACACCCATGCAGAAGGGATGCTCCGTGGACAGCCTTCCTGTGAGCAGAAGTCACTCAGCCCAGGGCTGGGATCCCAGAGAACCTGGGAGTAACAGCGTCACTCTGCAAAGGTCCTAGTTTCTCACACTTTGCTAAGTGCTCTCACTTCCTCTCAGAGCCTCTTGACGGCTCTTCGAGGCAGACAGGTGGAGACTGCAACCTCCATCTTACGGACAGGAAAAGTGAGGCTCAGACAGGGCATGCGGCTTATCCACAGCCTCACTTCAAGGAAGCTGAGAGTCGAGTGAAACCTCAAGCTTTCCAGTACAGAGCAAGGCTGGTCTCCAGCCGGTCCCCTTGCCCATGTCCTGGAAAGATAAACTGAATGACAAGAGCTTACTGTCTTATTCTTCATTCACCCCAGAAACATCCTTTTCCAATCCAGCAGCATAACTAAACACTCTAAATTCTGTTTTATGCAAAAATTTTTAAAAAATATTTTTCCCTTACCCCAGGATGTTCACATCAAAACCATAAAGACTGTGTTAGACCTGGGTCAAGGGCAAGGCCATTGAGTGAGTGTTCTGCCTGCAGGGGAAGGTCGGCACCACCCTTTGATCAACTTGAACAGAACCCGAGTTGCTCATTTCTATATCCAGTTCCATTTATAGAGCTTTCAGTAGGTGCTCAATAAATATGCCATGAATGAATGAGTGCATGAACAACCTCTCCTTGGCCTCCTCTATGCCTCTGTACTCATCATGGGTCACCTCACCAAAGTGAGGCCCAGAAGAGTCCTCAGAAATCATCTTATCCAACTGTCTTATGCTATAGATGAAGCCCAGAGAGGGTGAGTGACCGGTTGGAGGTCACACAGCAGGTTAGCAGAAGCACAGGTGCAGGAGGACAGCCTCACTCTGTCCTGGAAAGCTTGAGATTTCACTTGACTCTCCATTTCCTTGCAATGGGGCTGCGGACAAGGGACATGCTCAGAGTTTGTCCACAGAGCTTGTCCTGAGATCTCATCCAGCCTATCTTCTGAACCAGGAGGGCGGCTTTGGCCAGGAAAGATGAGAGCCGGCCATGATCATTGACCTCGCTGCTGAGTCTGATGCAATCTTCCAGTTGGCATGTTCAGGGCAGCTTCCTGGGCTGTGGGCTGTTTTTGGATTATGAGATCAATTCCCTCCATGGCCCGGGGAACAGCTGCCACCTGCCATCACCCAGAGAGGAAAGTGTCTCATTTGTGGAGAAGATGTCCGATCCCTGTGTCGAAGTAGCACAGATGCTGCCCCATTTGGGGTGCGGAGGTGGAAGGACACAGAGCACAGGGGCATGGGTCTGCTGGCTGACAGCACCTGGGAGAGGTTGTGTCCCCCATGGGTGCCATGGGAGGAGGTTGATCCGGGCTGGGAACCAGGCAGAGGCCAGTTGACCTTGAGTCGGTGGACAGCACTCTGAGGGAGGAGCCAGCCTGTGCAGATTAGCATGTGTCGGCATGGGGACCTGTCACAGGAGCAAGCAGGAGACAGATGTGAGTCCTGAGTGCCACCCTGGGCTGTCCCTGTGGCTTCCCAGTCTTTGCCCCCATGGCCTGGGCATCCCAGCGTGGGGAGTGTGAACACCTTGTCCTGGTTCGCCCAGGACTTTTAGCACTGAAAGTCCAGTGTGGACCCGGGCACACCTGGATGGTTGGTCACTGCAAGTGGGAGAGGAACATGACCTGGGAATGAGGAAACCTCCTCATCCTGGCACTTGTGACAATTGTTTGATGTGTAAAAGTCATTTTGTTTCTCTCGGCTTCTGCATTAGCAAAATAGGAATAAACGACAAATCCTACCTCCTGGCATCACTGGGTATACATAAAGACCTTTACCCCGGGGCAGGACAAGGTTGTCTGTCTTGCTTACTGCTCTATCCTCATGTTTATTCAGCACCCGATGCACACTCAAAAATAAGTATTGTCTCCATGGACAGCTAATATTAGGGAGCATGTTCTGGGTGCCAAGCATTTAATCTTCATCAAAACATTATTACATTCCCTGAGGGACAAAGTGACTCTTCCAGGACACTCTGAAGGCAAGTGCATAGACAGGATTCAAACCCAGGCTCCAGAGCCCGTGTGCTCAACCTCTGTCTACCACACTTTCCTCTGTGATCTTATTTTGTAAATTGAAATTCTACACAAATAATACAAGTCATTTTCTGGAGGTACCACGATGATCATTCAGGGAGGAGGACATGGGACAGAGAGGCAGCCCCTTGTCCCAGGCCCCACTGTGTTCTGGAGTCCTCCCTGCCCCATACTGTTTTTGAAAACATTTTACTTGCACTATTTACTGTCCGCGGAGCCCCACGATGTTTGCTCCCATCTGGGTCTGGCTGGGAAGTTCCCAGAGAGTGGGTCCCTCCAGGCCCCCTCGAGGACTCAGCCACTTACGGCCAAATCCAGATTTGTGGGAAGGGCCATGGCGGCCTCGCTCAGCTGCTGCGGAGCCCCAAGGCCGGTGGTCTTCTCTTGCTTCCTCCACTTGGCTCGCTGGTTCTGGAACCAGATCTGTGGTCGGGGAGAAAACTGGGGATCAGCAAACGAGATTTCTCCCACCTAGCACCACCTCCCACAAATGTATAGCGATGACACCTTCTGAGGGCCAAACTTTCCAGTTTGTAAAGCACCGTGGCATCCAGGATTTCTTTGGGTCTGGAGGTCAGCCTTCTGAGAGCGGACCAGGTTGCCACCTGCGATGCCTACAGGGATGGGGGAAGTGCGTGAGTAAAACAGCCAGGTGCTGTATACTCAGGAATGGTGGGGTCTGTGGTGAACAGAGCCTAAAGGGTACAGCTTCTCAGTACCTGGCAATGGCCAACACATGGAAATGTCAGTCCTGCATTGCAGGTTCATCCTGTTTCCAAGGTGGAAATCTTGAATTTTATGTGAAAGCTTCCAAGTTTGAAAATACCACATAGACCAAATAAAAGCCACGTGTGGGTCATTGGTGGGTCACCAGTTTGCAACCCCCGTGGGTCCCTTGGCATTTATAGGTTGAACACTGGTAGCTCTATATTCCTGAGCAGCTGGATGGTCCCTGACTTGTGGCCATTTAGACATGGTAGTTCTACTGAGGCAGGTGTTGAATTCTGGGCTTTACGGCAGGCACAGGCACTCCTTCCTCAGCTGGTGCCTCGTTCCAGGAAGAGGGGTGGGGTCTAAGACAACAGTGGTCCTGAGTAGAAGGAAAGGAGACTGGGATAGAATAAAGAGAGGAATGTTGGCCTTCTTTTGAATTAGAATGAGTCCACTACATTTAGGAGTATGCGGAGAGAAGAGTGAGTTAGAAAACGGTTCCCAGCACTTCGAGAGACTGAGGCGAGAGGATTGCCTGAGCCCAGGGGTTCTAGACCAGCCCGGGTAACTTGATGAGACCGACCTCGTCGTCTCTACATAAATCAAAAAGTTAGCTGGGCATGGTGGCGCACGCCTGTAGTTCCACTACTTGGAAAGCTGAGGCAGAAGGATCTCCTGAGCCCAGTAAGTCGAGGCTGCGGTGGCCGTGAGCATGCCACTGTACTCCAGCCTGGGTGACAGAGTAAGACTCCAACTTAAAAAAAAAGAAAAGAAAACCGTTGTGGGGAGAGTGCCGACAGGGCTGCAGTTGGAGCTGGTGGAACTTGTTATGTCAGAGTGGCACTTGCAAAACTGGGAATGTGTGCAGAGGGCAGCTTGTACCCCTGGTGATAGTGGGCTACTGTCTTTCTGATCATGCATGAAACTCTAGATACTCTGGAGTGAAGAGATTACAGACGAGGGATTAAGTGGTTGGTGCTTAAGCCAGTTTCTGGCCATGGGACTCAGGGGTCTTTCCACCTCTTTGTGCAGCTTCCAAAGGCAGCCCCATGTGGTCCAGGTTGGGGTACACTGCAGACTGCAGGCTAAATCTGGCCTGCCACTTGCTTTTTTTATTTTGTGAGTCGGAGTCGCACTCTGGCACGCAGGCTAGAGTGCAGTGGCACGCTCACAGTCACCGTAGCCTCGACCTGCTGGGCTCAGGCGACCCTTCCCCCTCAGCCTTCCAAGTAGCTGGAACTACAGGCATGTGCCACCACACCCAGCTATTTTTTTGATTTATTGTGAAGTCGAGGTCTCACCATGTCACCCGGCTAGTCTCAAACCTATGAGCTCAGGCAATCCTCTTGCCTCTGCCTCCCAAAGTGCTGGGATTACTGATGTGGACCACTGCACCCAGCATCACCTGTTTTTGAATGACTCATGAACTGAGAATGGTTTTCACATTAGAAGAGTAATATTTTGTGACAGGCAAATTACACAAAATTCAAATTCTGGTGTTCATAAATAAAGTTTGTTTCTGTATTTTCTGAGACTGCCTTTGTGCCACCGTGGCCTGGGTGAACAGTTACTTGGACAGTGACTGTGCCCCCTGCAAAACCTGAAGTCATGACCACCTGGCCCTTACAGAAAAACTTTGTTGATCTGTGATCTAAATTATCAGCACCTATTTTGCGAATAAGGCTGTGTGGTGAACAGTGTTCTGGAAGGGTCACCAAGTGGGGAGGAAAGGCATGGACCAGAGATCCATGGTGATCACAGAGGCCACCTCACTTCCTTCCCACTCTCAGGGAGAGAAGCCATCTTGGAACTATGATGACCTCACTTCCTGGAAAACGATATTTGGTCAGGATGTCTGTACTCATGGGTGGAGCCAGTGGAAACTTTCAGATGGGGCAGCCGCAGGAGCTTGTGTCTCACCCATGGTTCCAAGGGCATGGACGTTGGGGATGAGGCAGGGCTGATTATACCTGCACCCGTGCTTCTGGGAGGTTGATCCTGGCTGCCAGCTGGCTGCGAATGTGGACATCCGGGTAGTGGGTGAAACGGAAGATCTTTTCTAGCTCGTGCAGCTGCTCTGTTGTGAAGGTGGTGCGGACCCTCCTCTTGCTCCTCTTCTCTTCTGTGTGAGAAAGGGTCCAGGTTGGGTCAGTGTCCTTGGTGTCAGCACCTCCATGAGGCCTTTGTGTTGCTTTGTCCTATCCTTCCAACCCTCACCACCCCTACCGAGTCTTGGCCCCTGGCTCCTTGGGCTTGCAGCTTCACAATATTCTCCTTCCTAAAATTCCCTGCCTCCAAGCTGACCCCCTCCCATACACCCTGGCTACTGAGGCCAAGTTGACCTTCTAGAAAATTCTCTCTGATCATGCTCTTCTATTGCTCAGATGCCACCAACAACTCCTTCTTGTCTGACAAGAGATGATAAACAATGGCCTACAAGACAGACCTGGTCCATTGTCTTTTTCTAAACAAAGTTTTATTGGAACACAGCTCCTGACACTGGTTTTTGTACTGTCTCTGACAACTTTTGCAATGTAATGGCAGAGTTGAGTCATCTCAAGAGAGACGGTAGGGCTTGCGGAGACTAAAATAATTATAATCTGGACCTTTACAAAAAGTGTGCCAATCGTGGTCTACAAAGTAAAGGCTGAGCCCAACTGCAGTCAAGGCCCTTGACAGCCTGTCTCCAACCTACCTGCCCAGCCTCAATTCTATTCAAGGTTGGCTAGGTCATTTGTGAGGCCCAGTACAAAGTGAAAATGTAGGACCCCTTGTTTATGAAGCAGAAAACAGCCTTTTTTCTGTTTCCCACAGTAACTCTTTCTTGAATTATTTGCTATTTTATGTCGTGCTCCTCCGATAGAGCATAGGATACATCTAGAGTGAGTACAGACCCTCACAGGGACATGGTGACCCACCCTGAGGTTTAGAGCACAAGAATGCCAAGTGAAGAAACTTGATCCCACCTGCAACTGTGCGCCTTTCCTGGACTCTCCTTGAACCTGTGCCCAATCCATTCCTGACCAAAATGAAGTGGGTGGCAGTTGCTGGGTCGGCGCAGGGAAACATTTGGCCAAGAGCCCATCCTGGGGAAGCGGGGAGGTGGTGAGAAGGGTATTGATTTTGAGTCGTGGCTACAAGCCTCTGGTGCATGCTTAGCTGTTCCGTTGAATCCCACTAATCAAACACAGATTCTGACACACAATTGTAAGAATTTCAAGATGGCGACCATAGCATTTGATTTCACTCACGAGGCTTCCTTCTGAGCACAGGGTCCTGAGCATCTATGCTGGTCACACACACACTCATGGAGCCAGCCTTGCCTCCATTACTCTGTCAACCCGCATGCCTTGTTCCATTCAAGTTGGGCTACTTGCCGTCTCCAAACCATACCAAGTGTGTGAATTCCTCTCTGGTTTGTCTCAGGCAATCCCCTCTGTCTGGGGTCACCTCTTCTCTCTTGTCTGCAATTCCAATTTCTACTGGTTCTTCAATCCCTAAATTCATTCATATAATCTCCAAGAACTCTTTTCTCATCTTCCTAGCCCTGGGTGATCTTTCCTCCTGAGAATATCTTCATTGAACTTGTTAGCTTTGTTGTTAATCCAACTACGTTTTTATCAAGCACATACTTCTTTGTGCACCAGGCAGTGAGTGGTAGAAAAGATGAGACTTGGTCCCTGATGGGAAGCACTCATGATCTGGTGAGGTGAGGGAATCAGATACACTTGCACATGGCCTAGAGTATATGGTGATCACTGTGCTAACAGAGTGAGGTGGACACCTATTTGAATTGATCTGCCCAGAACTGCCTCTTTCTAGGGTCGGCCATGCCCTCCTTCTGGAAATTCTTCTTCCCACACATCAACCAAGTTAACTGTAGTGGGAATTGATTTGGTTCAAGAGTGGGGCCCTGAACTGGACCTATTGGAATCCATCCCTGGGATTTTGTTTTAAACAACAGAACTAGGAAAGATAATCAAACCACTCCAGTGAGACAGTGGTGACAGAAGTGGAATGTGAGATGTGGTCCATCAGCCACTATCTTTGCAGGGAGAGGATATATAGATGAGCTGACAATGGGAAATATTTTGGAGGGAAGCTGCCAGGGCACGTTGGTAGATTAGTCCTTGGCTAGGAGAAATCAGTGACAACTCTTCAGTTTCAGTTTGAGCAAAAGATGGATGTGTGTGTGTGTATGTGTGTGTGTATGATATTCAGTTTGGACACGTTAAGTATAAGATGCTTATTGAATAGTCAAAGGACTCTATGAAATGGGCAGATGTTTTTATAAGTTTGGAGCTCAAAGGAGAGTTTAGGACTGAGGCTCAACTTTTAGGAATCATCAGCATTTACTTGGCATTTGAAGTCAAGGGAATTGGATGAAATCACTTAGGCAGAAAGCATAGCTGGGAAAAAGCAGAGGATCTGAGAACAAGCCTGGGGCCATTATAGGTTCAGCAGCAGAGAGACCTGAGCTCTGTTCCTGACTCTACTATGCAATTTGGGCCACATTTGATTCTCTCTCTGGGCCTCAGTCTCCCTATCTGTAGAATGGAGGAGAAGAGAGTGGTTGAATGATCAAGTCAATAAGGCCAAGTCCACTCTGACATCCTACAGCCCTCCTTCTCTTCAGTGGAAGATGCATGGCTCAGTGGCCTTGCCTGCAGGGCCAGTTTGCTTGGTGAAAGGGAGAAGAGAAGGTCTCTGAAGTAGGGGGAAAGGGAGGGCTATTTCAAGAAAGAAGTCATAGTCAACTGAGTCCAGGATGCAGATAGACAGACTACAGTGAGGACAGAAAAGTCATCCTAGACCCTGGCCACACCTGGAAGAATAAGGAGGACCACCCTGTTAGAAGAATGGGGGACTTAGCCATAGCTCCTGGCTGGAACCAAGTGACAACAGAGGGACCAAACCAGGTGATGGTGGTTTTCTTTCCCAGGCATGGACTTCTGAGGATAGAATTGCAATTCTAGTCTCAACTGGACCAAAGATAGTCTCTATGATGTAATTTTAGGACTGGTAGGAAAAACAAACCTTCTCCTCAAATCACCTTCACTTTTGGGGCCCAATAGAATTATGGCCATCCTAGGTGACATCTTGCCTCTTCTGATTTTTTCCTCATTCTGTTCTCAGAAAAGGATTGAAAACCTAGGTACTTCTGGTACCAGGGTAACTCACACTCATGTTGGGAGGACCAAAAGCCCTCCAAGGAAGGGACACCCCATTTGCCTGTCATCACCTCTTTCTAGACTGAGCGCCTGGAGGGCAGGGACTATACCTGAGACTAGCTGGGGAATGGGCACCTAGTGGGAGTTTAACAAATACTTGCTCTAAATGAATAGTAGTGGAATGCAAGCTCTGCTCTCAATCCCATCTGACAGACAAGACATATCCACATGACTTGTCTGACATGCGGTGCAATGCCAGATGTCACAGGTCAGACAAGACAACTGTTGAAAGCTGAAGCCACCACAAAGCAGTGGTGGGAGTCTGAGCTCCAGCTGAGGTCCCTTGGTCCCACCAAGCCCACTTTCTCTTATCCCCAAATAAGAGAGGCAGAACCACCACAAACTGCCAACTGGAGTAGACATTCAGTAACAAGGAGATCTCAACTGTGGACGTTTAGCAACTGAAGAGATCAACTAACCCTTTTTCTTTTTTTTTTGAGTTGGAGTCTCACTCTGTCACTCAGACTGGAGTGCAGTGGCCGCTCCCGGCCACTGCAGCCCCGACCTGCCGGGCTCCTGCGATCCTTCCGCCTCAGCCTTCCAAGTACCTGGAACTACAGGCGCGTGCTACCACACCCAGTTAATTTTTGATTGTAGAGATGAGGTCTCGCCAAGTTGCCCAGGCGAGTCTCTACCCCGCGGGCTCAGGCAATCCACTCACCTCGGCCTCCCAAAGTGCTGAGATTACAGACTGAGCCACCGAGCCCGGGCCCTTTTTCTTTTTTGATGCTTATCATGGATCCTGCTCTCCCTGGATAGTAGAAAATCCAATGAGCTGGACATCAGAAGGCCTGAGCTCTGTTCCTGGCTCTACTATGCAACTTGGGCCACATTTAATTCTCTTTCTGGGCCTCAGTCTCCCCATCTGTAGAATAGAGAAGAGAGGGGTTGAATGATCAAGCCAATAAGGCCGAGTCCACCCTGACATCCGACAACCCTTCTTCTCTTCAGTGGAAGATACATGGCTAGATGACCTTGCCTTAGCCTCACCTGCAGGACCAGTTTGCTTGGTGAAAGGGAGAGGGCCGGAGAGGGGAGATTTCCTCTCTAGGAGTTCGCCGGGACCAGTTGCCTCCAGAAATGAGATTTCAGGTCTGCTTTTGGTCTCACTCCTTCCTACCATCCCTCACTGTTGTTGTTATTTCATTTCATCCCTCTAAATACTTGTGTTCACTTTTGCTGACTCTGGGAAACCTTGTGGGAGTCTCAGACCCTGAGGTCGTAAACATGACCACCCAGTAAGTGAACTCTGGGCTCATGACCCACCTTTGTAGGACAGTCTCATCTCTGTCTCTCCTTCTCTACCCCCTTGCTCTCCCCAAGCCCACCCTGCTTTTTTATTTTTATTTTTTTAAAAAGAGATATTTATTCTATTTTTAGAGCTGGTGCTGTGTTTAAGGGCTAGAGCTGAAATCAGAATAGACGTAGAGGAGACATTCACTAAACTCTATCACCAAGAGCTTAGTGAATGTCTCCTCTGTACCCAGCATCTGCTAGGCACCGAGGGCCTGACTGCAGGGATATGGAATGAACAAGCCGTGCTTGATGGTATCACATTCACCCCTTCATTCATTCAGTCATTATTTTAGGTGATAGTACATGATATAGTGCAGTTTTATAGGAAGTTACACAAAAATACAAATCCACAAAAAGGAAGATTCCAGGTTGGCTGGGCAAACTGAGGTGTCGAGGACAGTATAGAGTTGTGTTCCGCATCTAACTGTGGGAGAGAATGTAGGGTGTAGATCCAGAAACCAGGAAATGAAACACTGTGGAGAACAGAGGATTAGAAACAAAAGGTCGGTTATAGCAAAAGTAAGCCACCTCTTCCATGTCCCCCAAACATGAGTTCATGACTAAGAGCAGGCTCCTCAATACAATAATTATTTCA